ACTGAAAGGTTTTTAACTCATGGCTGCCCCAAGGAGGATCACAACAAACAGAGGGATAACACTGTCTGTATAAAAGCATTTGCCTGTTTGCATGACCTGTTTCATAGTCATTTAAAAGACTGATACCAACCAGATATCCCATAATGATGATAAATTTAATTTATTTCCAATTTCTCAAACTCTTCTACAGATTCAGGCAGCACAGTCACAGCCATTAGCTCACTGAGCTGGATGCATCATTGAAGGAATGGAATTGATCAGGCAGATAGATTGCAGTGCATGGCTAAGAGTCTCCTAAGGAGGGAGATGGCAGAAGTCCAGACATCAAATAGATGATGAAATGGCCATTTCCATTAAGGTAACATCACATCACAGATATTAATTAGGAGGCACTATAATAAAGTTAAGTGGATGTGGGAGAAAATGCTGAGTTAAAAGTCACCCCGTATGTCCTTAGCCTGAGGTAATTACAGATCTGAAGGTGAGTCATGGATCTGCAATTTTCCATTCATTTTACAATAGCTGCAGGAACGTTTAAAAGATTACGTGAAAGGAGATTAGAATCCGTTTTTAGACTGGGGACAAATTATCTTTAAAAAAAGAAAATATTCTAACGTTTTCCTCTTAACATTCCTGTTTTATTCCCAAGGAAAATGACATCCTTTATTTACATTAACAACATTAATGGAGGATGACAAAGTACTGACTACTTTCTTTCTTTTTTTCTTTTTTTTGGAGATGGAGTCTTGCTCTGTCACACAGGCTGGAGTGCAGTGGCACAATTTCGTCTCACTGCAACCTCTGCCTCCCACGTTCAAACCATTCTCCTGCCTCAGCCTCCCAAGTAGCTGGGATTATAGGCTCATGCTACCATGCCAGGCTAATTTTTTGTATTTTTAGTAGAGATGGGGTTTCACCATGTTAGCCAGCATGGTCTCAATCTCCTGACCTCGTGATCTCCCTCAGCCTCGGCCTCCCAAAGTGCTGGGATTACAGGTGTCGGCCACCTTGCCCGACCCAGTTCTTACTACTTTCTAGAGAAATTAAACAAATGAAACAAGTTAGTTTTAAGTTTAAATGCATTTTATCAAGTTTTTTGTTTCAAGAACGTAAATTCATCTTAAAAACTGATGGGATATTTTGTTCTAGTCTTCAGTCCAAATCTACCTTAACAGTTAAAAACAAAAAAAATTTTTTTTTTTTGAGACGGAGTCTTGCTCTGTTGCCCAGGCTGGAGCACAGTGGTGCGATCCACTGCAAGCTCCACCTTCCGGGTTCACGCCATTCTCCTGCCTCAGCCTCCGGAGTAGCTGGGACTACAGGCACCCGCCACCAGGCCTGGCTAATTTTTTTGTATTTTTAGTAGAGACAGGGTTTCACTGTGTTAGCCAGGATGGTCTCGATCTCATGACCTCATGATCCACCCGCCTCGGCCTCCCAAAGTCTGGGATTACAGGCGTGAGCTACTGCACCCAGCCGGAATAGTAATCTTTTAAAGTATTATTTGATGTATGTAAATGATGAAGACAGTTACATTCCAAACCTGCAGAGCTTCCCTACAATAGTATGAGAGCAACAGCCAAAGTGTTGGTTGCCCAACAATAGATTTATGCCAGTTTTTTTGTTCTGTAATTCCTTGCAATCTCATCTCCCTTAGTACCTTGCCCAACTATAACTTCCCATGTGTATCCATGATAACTAACAAATGCAGACAGATGGCCAAAATGTGAGTTGAGGAAGTGTTGAGTATGAAAGGAGTTTATCTTTCCATTTTAGTTTAATTTGGATCATAATCTCAGAATTCTGGATGCAGTACTCCAAGTCACTAACTTCAAATGGCTGACTGAGGCTCTATCTAGGAAAAAAATTCCTTTGCAGAGGTTCCAATCTTAATTTCCTACATAAAGTCAGACAATTTACAATTTTTTTTTTTTTTGCTTTATTTCACCAAAACAGCAGAATCACGGGGATAAAAATTTACACAGGATGTCTAAATGATGTAGATTAATTCATTGAAAGCTCCTTTATCATCAGGTGCTTATAAAAGATAAAAAGACATCAGTCAAAAATGGTGCAGTAAAAACCTCTGAAAACTCTCTCCTCCATGAAGGCAATGGGAACACTGTGAGGAGCACTGTGAGAATCAACTGAAAAGTAGCCAAAGGCTTGCAGCAATCCAGGGAGTGTTTATTCAAGAAAAACCAGCTGAATCTTGGTAAAAACAGTAAACTTTGCAGTGTTTCATTTGCCTTATTCCCATCCCACTCTCCCAAGCTCCATCTCGGCCTTAAAAACTAACATTCCTGAATCACAGTGAAAATCAGCAGCCATCAGAGGGGGCAAAAGAAAGCTCCTTCAAAGCCCAATTCTCAGAGAACTATCATTATTTGACCTGTCTGGTGGTCCCCTGGAGGGCCCCGCTCAGAAGGCTGTCTTTACTTTACAGGACTTGGAGCTTGCCCAGTAGGAAAAGCCTAATTCTTGTGAGGGTTTGATGAAAACAATTACAGGCATTGCTTAACACTAAGACTTCCTGAGGTGGTGGCTAAAAGCTGGGGCAAACAATAGGCTAACCAAAAGCTTCAAAGGAAAAGCTGAAGAATGAGATGTCCACAAAGGGCTCTGAAAAGTTCTAATATATTAAAACAAGAAGGAATCTAGAGGGCTCATGTGTGCTCATGGCCATATGAATGCTCAGGAAAAACCAGAGAAAGCCCTCAGCTCTCTCCTCTGCCTGACCTTGACAGGAAGTGAAGGCTAAGGCAGAGGCATCAACTGCTTGGTGTAGTGTTGAAGGTAGGCTGCACCTGCACATACATCCCTTCAACAAAGACTGAGAGACTTATTAGTTTAGAAAAGTCATTGAAAAAAAACAGCAAGAAAGATGAACTGTGATGAAAAGAGAAAATCTGATTTCCAGGGTCACACTACATTATTTTAAATGTCCAGTCTTAAACGAAAATTAGGAGACATGGAAAGAAATGAGAAAGTATGACCCATACTCAGAAAAAAAAGCAGTCATTAGTAACTGCCCCTGGGGAGACCTATGTTGGACTTAGTAGACAAAGAATTTACATTAGCTATTTAAAATATACTCAAACAACTAAAGAAAACTATGTCTAAAGAACTAAAGTAAAAGAACGATATGTCTCAAATAGAGAATAAAGGGATATGAATTATAAAAAATAAACAGAAATTTGTAATTGAAAAGCACAATAACTGAAATAAAAAATTCACCAGTGAGATTGAAAGCAGTTTAGAGCAAGCAGAAAAAACAATCAGTGAACTTGAAGACAGGTCGATTGAGATTGAGTCTGAGGAACAAGAATAATAAAGAATGAAGAAAAATAAACAGAGCTTCTAAGACCCGTGGAACATCAAGTGAATCAATAGACACATAATTTGGGAGTTTCAGAAGATGAGGAAAGGGGAAGAACAAATATTTGAAGAAATAATGGCCCAACATTTACCAAATATAACAAACATTAATCTAAACATTCAAGAGGTTCAAAAAACTTCAAGTAGGCTAAAGTCAAAGAGATCCACATGTAGACACACCATATTCAAATCGTTGAAAGTGAAAGAGAATCTTAAAAGCAAAACATAAGAAAGAAAATATACTCTTCTGAAGGTGGTCTACAAATCTATCTGAGGCACAGTGTGGCTTCAAGATTAGACTTTGGAGTAAGTTTTGTCATGTATGTCTTTGGAGGCAATGTGGTTGGGTACACATTTTATATAACTCATGGGGATGTTTTTTCTCCTATTATAATCTTTGGGAATAACAATAAACTAAATTCTACAACCCAGGTGAGTGTTTAGACCCCTACACTCATCTCCAAGCAGTAACAGATTCTAAGTGGAAATAAAAAAATCCACATGTGCAGGAAAAAAAAACAGTACCAGCAACTGATGGTGCATTAATGGCACTTATGTGGGAATATTCTTTTACGTACTTGGATAAAAGACTCAACTTACATATGGTGCCTGATTAAGAGTTTCTTAAGAGATATGAGGTAATTTTTATTGATAGCTTATTCACAACAAAATACTGTTACATAGTGATATCTCAGTCTGAAGAAACAAAAAAAATTAAATCTCTATAACAGATCTAAAGCATATATTTGACTAAATTTCCCCCCTTCTCCTCCCATATTAACGTAAAGAAATCAAGAAGAAACACCAAGATAATCAGACTTTTTTTTTTTTTTAGATGGAGTCTTGCTCTGTTGCCCTGGCTGGAGTACAGTGGCGTGATCTCAGCTCACTGCAACCTCCACCTCCCAGGTTCAAGTAATTCTCCTGCCTCAGCCCCCCGAGTAGCTGGGATTACAGGCGGCTGCCACCATGCCTGGATAGTTTTTGTAATTTTAGTAGAGACGGGGTTTCGTCATGTTGGCCAGGCTGGCCTTGAACTCCTGACCTCAGATGATCCTTCTGCCTCGGCCTCCCAAAGCGCTAGGATTACAGGCATAAGCCATGACGCCTAGCCATGATAATTGAACTTTTTCTTTTACGATTCAAAATAGGGTAAACAAAAGGTTACTGATTTATCTAAATACTGTTCCTGTGCTTCTTATATTTACACAATTGTCTTCACACTAAAGTACAAGAAACCACTTGAAAATTATTTTTAATAGAAACAAATCACTCTCAAATGGAAGAATTACAATAGAATACATACTAGAAGTATATCACTATATTCTTCTGAAGAGCATTATTATGTCATAAAATTTCAAACTGGGGGGCAACTGAATAGTTTTTTATCTCTGTTCCTCAGATAAAGATGCCAGGAAAGAAAAGGTAAAGATAAGATGTCTTACTTAAGATTAGGAAAATAAGGCTGTAATAATTTCAAAAACTAAGTATAAATTAATGATAAAAATATTGGGACTATTGCCCATGGAAGAGAAAAGCTCTACTGGGTAGTCTCTAGTCTTCATGACAGATATTCACAGATGGGGAAGACTATCCCATTATCCAGGCTTCCCAAAACTAACCTGTGATAATTAGACATTCATTGTGATCCAGCACCTCAGTGAAGAGCCGTGAAACAATCAACTCAGGATTGATTAAAAAGCGGATTTCTTCTTGCACAAGTCCTGCACTGGTTACACCACCTCCAACAAAACGATTTGCAAAATCCACCTGTAGGGAAAATGTGGCATGTTAAATAGTGGTCAAAAATACCTATGATCAAGAAGGGAAGCACACAGTCTCTAAGCTCTCATCTTTTTCTCTCCCATGAAAATCAATTCCCAAATAAGTAACCTTCCCAGGAAGGGTAGATTATGGTTGCTTAAACTCTTTCCATCTCACTGCAGTCAACACCTCTGCACATTTCTCTGGATCCCAGAACCACAGAAGGAATCTGGAAAATGGAGCCTTTAGGCAAAACATTATGTATTATACAGATTCTTGTTTATAAACCTATTTGTGTCTCAGGAGCTACAAATCAAGGGAGGTCTTTATCTGGGAAGGTTTCAAAGTCATTCTCCCCCATTCACTAGTCAATTTCCCTTTATGTATTTCACGTAACTTCAATGTAATTAAACTTTTCTTATGTAATATGGTAACCAAACACTTGCTCTAAAGAATTGAAAAAGTTTAGTAATCAACTTTTTGGGTAACCTTTTCCAACCTTATTGTAAGAATAAAGAGATCGAATTTTTTTCCTTCTAAATTCAACGCCAAACCCCAAACTACATGAACATTACAAACTATTTTTTTAAATATAACTAAGGAAAAAAGGAAGAAAAAAAATCCCAGTATAGCAACAAAGATTCAATTAAATTAATATTTCCAATTAGGTTGGAAATTTTTATGCTTCATGTGTAGTAGTATGATGGAATCCCCAAACTCCTACTAATAAAGAAGAGATACACAATCCTCCAGAGAAGCGAACTCAATTTGCTGGCATTATTTCCGTTTGTCCTGTGCGTCCAGCACTATGCCAGCCTCATGAGGCAGTATGTAAGAAATAGCAACCATCTTTCCCTTAGTGAGACTATCTTAGGAGTTAGATTACACACACACACAACTTGTGTATATACACAGTCATACACACAAGTAAAATAGAATTGACTAAATACCATGAGGCTTATATGCTTTCAAACTATTTTATATGTGAAAAGACAGAAATTAATAGAAGTCTTCTTTTTACCATAGAATAACTTAGAAAATACTAAAACATACCACTGAGTAACTTCAAATGAGTTACCAGAGAGAATCGCATATTTGGATTTGTATTCTGGAGTACTAAAACCAATGCTAAAAAACCAGAGTAACTTTTTAGCTTATATAGGAAAATAATTTTGGTGAAACCAGTCTGCTGATTAGAATTAGTTACCTATTACATATGAGGTCTATGGGCACTGGGTGATTCATGGCTTAAACTGTCCAATTCAACAAATATTTACTGAGTATTGTGCTGGGAATCACTGGATACAAAGATGAATAAGATATGTATGGTTCCTGGCCTCACGGCATTTGCAATTTAGATAGCAGTCAGAATGAGCATAAGCAGAATGAGAAGATGATTATTAAAGAGCTTGTTACTATGTATTTGATACTTCCTAAAAATACAATTAACTAAAATTGGGGCATGGGAGGAAGCTAGGAAAGTTTTACAAGAGGACGTGGCAGCTGATGTGCAGGCTGAGGGCATAGCTGCACAAGGACACAGGGCAAAAAAAACCAAATGTAAATCACCATATGAGGAGAATGGTAAACAGATTCCTCATGCTTGCCTGCATTGTAGAGTAGTTGGAGGCTTATAGTTGGTGATAAGGTGGTCTGAGGTCTAGGGAATTTTTATTCAACTTCCCTCTGAAGGTTCTGGGAAAGATTCAAGAAACACCTGGACCTATGTTTTAGGAAGATAACTCAGGCTAGAGTTTAAAGAATAAATGGAAAAGTGTAAAACTAAAAGTAAAAAGGCTGGTTAGGTGAGTACTGAATAGTTTATATAATCACTACTAGGGCCTCAAACAGGAAAATGGTAAAGGAAAGAGAAGAAACTCAGTAAAGAAATAAAATGGGCTGTACTTGAGAACTAAGAGACTGGCTGAGTGCCTAGAAGTGTAATGATATTGTGACTACGAATTTGAAACAGACGAGGTTTAAGATTGGTCTAACTTAATTTTTACTGGAATAAGGTACATAACAAAAATAAAAAGATAAGCTCTATCCAACTTATGTACTACTTGATAATGATCATGAAATACATTCAATGTGTATGCTATTGTTTATGCTTTGAATAAAAGGCCAACATTTGTAACTTGAAAGGTGTGCACAGAAATAAAAACACTAAACTCAGTATGCCTCTAAAAGCCGAAGTCTTTTAGAAAACCAAAGTTTTACACTTAAAGTTCTTAACAATAAAGACCCTCTACAACAGTTGAGAAACCTGTTCCAGTACATGAAAACAAGAGTGTGAGTGCATCTTTATTTTTAGCCAGTTATTTTCCAAGTCACTTTAAAGCTACTCGTTCAGATTACTCAGCTTCTGAATTACAACTTGATGAAAAGACAGGAATGACAATGCTCCTCAGAGTGGTTTTGTTGTTGCTGCCATTCAGCATAATGTAATTTATATGCTACACAAGGAGCTGTGTCGCATTGCAATACAATATTCCCCGATCTCCTGGGGAGACATGGCATGGGTAGGGAGAACAATTAATAGCAAGAAGCCCTTACGGTATTCTTTTAATCTATCGAGGTCTCACATTTCATCTACAGTATATTCCAAGGAAGTGGTGAGGATCTCAACCTTAACTGTTGTCAAATAATTCCTTGTTGAATTGTATTGTAATGAAAGGTCAGCATTCCTGTGGTGCTAACCAGCCATAACTTTTGTTTAGTTCATGTGTATTAAGAATCTCTCAGTTTATCTAAGACTTTAAAGATGGAAAGAACTTTATCAAGAGGGGAATGTGGGGGAAAAAGTGATATTAATTCAAACCAATATTTAAGCATATTTTAAGATTAGTTTTAAAACAGAAAAAAGGTATAGGAGTAAATACAAATTTAAATATGTTTTGTTTTTGTTTTTGTTTTTCCAAAGTAAGCACAGGAAAAATATTAATTCAGCTATCCTAAGTATTTATAAGCTCAAATAACCACTTGGGAGAAGGTGATTTAGAATAAAACGTAGCTTGTTTCTTTGAAGATTTTAATTACAAATATGTCCAAATAAAAGGCTATTTAAAAAAAGAACCTGTTTCATTTAAATAATAACTAGACACAAATTTTATAGTAAGCATTAAGTTATTCAAACAAATCAGTCCATTTTCAGGCAACCGCTTTCTTTAGATTCTGAACCAATATAAGCACCAAATAAGAATCTAGGAAGAAAAATAAACTATTATCAATATAAATGAGATGGTATACAAGCTTCTTTCAAAGAAAACTCAGTTTACAATGCTCTTATAAATGGGATAAGAACACAAAACACTAACATTTTGTCTCTGATTAGTGAATTTTAAAGCAGCACTATAAATCAAAAGGTTAGGTTAGATATTACTATATTTTAAACATGGAGTTTTTGTTAACCCCCTTCTCCAAAAATACTTTTTAAAGGTAAAAGTAGTAACAGATTATAAACAAAGATTGAGGGGTGGACAGAATTACCTGCTTTTAACAGGGAAAAGACATAGCAAGCATAGCTAGCTCACGTGTATGAAACTGTTACATATGAGAGAGAGGCCTTTCTTATCAAATCAGTTTTAGATGTCTGCCCCTTCAACCTAAACAAAGCTGTTGGTGGCTGAAAGACATCTCAATCTGGTCATCAAGTAGGGCAGAGCAAGAAGAGCCTTTAAGGAAAAAGAATAAAAATGCTTGGTGACAGTCTGTCAAGACTATACCCTGGGAATTTCCTCCACTGTCAACCTACAATCAATGTCTGAACCAAGAGGCTGATGCTGTCCAGATCTTGGGACTTTCTGTCAAAGGCTTTTGAGAGAAGCACATGTAAGAAACAGAGTATACACTGGTAAATAACAACATTACCAAGGCTGTCAAAGTGATCTGTTTGGTGTTTTTCCTTCATTCTGCTATCATGCTTCTTTGCATTAAATCAGTTTAGGAGACAAATAAACAGCTTTTCAAATTTCTTTTGCTGTCAGAAGTCTGAGAAGAAAAAGTCCCAATCATACACAGACACTACTGAGATTCACCTACCTGTAGCATGCCTCGGCCATTTTCTTCTATGGTACCTTCGTAAGTGACATGCAATCGTGTCAAGGGTTTTTCACATCTACAATGTGAAAAGACATTCCCTTACTTATTATTTTAATGACAAGTGCTTCACTGTGGACAAATGTGAAAATATAGGTAACTACTCAAAAACTGAAACCACCCCAAATCTCAGAAGTCAGAAACAGATGCCTACTGTTAACATTCTTGGTACTGATCCTCCTTATTCAAACATGTAAATATACACACTTAAATTAAAATGAGATAACATATTGTTTGAAACCTGCTTTTCCTCTAAATAGTATGAAAGTTTTTATTCTTTAAAACAGTTGAAAAACATTGCAAAATATTTAAAAAATTAAGATCTATGAAATTTTGTTATGGCCAGGGTTGGCAATCTGAGGAAAAATGTAGAAAAAATTTGGCAATAAATCATAATGATTCTCATATGGCTTCTATTTTCTGTTTTCACTGTTTGATAACTGTGTGTGTGTGTGTGTGTGTGTGTCTTGATGAAAATACATGCCACAGAAATTCTGAACAATGGTATTTTTCTATTAATAAGGTTAACAGATAAACCTAGCATCTGTAATTCAGAAGGCATAATTATTTTCTTTCCCTTTCAACCATGGTCACTGAGATATTTACTTGACTTAACGTTAGATTAACCACAAATTTCATTGTATTAATAGCATTTGTTAACATTATTTTCCTTATTAAATATTTTTCCCCTGATCACTTACTGAATAAAAAATATAAATTATTATGAATGAAACAGAGGAGATCCAAAGTTCTAACTCACGTAAGAGTGCCAATAATCTTTTTTGGGAGGGAGGAGATGATTATATTTTTAGAAAATAGTCTAGGAGGTTAGCTGGAAAAGTACTCAGAATTGCTTGATTCCTTCCTGGTCTCAATGAGTTTAAATATATTTCTGGCAAAACTCCAGACCAACAGGCTGATAGCTTTAACTCAGAAGGTAATTCTGCACAGGTTCTGTCTAAGAGCTTTATTTGTATTAACTCATTTAATCCTCTCAACAACCCTATTACTAACTCCTTTTATAGATGGGGAAACAAAGCACAGAACATCTAAGTAAGCTAATCAAGACTAGTAAACAAAGCAGCAGAGATGTGAAACTATGTAGACTCACTCAATGGTCCAGGCTCTGAATCAGTATGCCACACTTTTAGAGAAATTACTTTCCCGGTCTCTTGTAGAAAACAGTATCATAAGTTTAACTTCATTTTTTAACTTCCTTTTTTTGGTCCTACTTTCCTAGCCATTTTATTCAGAGGAAGACCCTCCCTGTGAGCATACTACTAAAATCTCTGGGCTGTCAAGTCAGGACTTCAGAACAGGAATTCCATCTGTTGTCAATTATTCTCCATGACTGAAACTAGAAACTTTATAGTATAGCTCTTAATAAAATTATGAAATTGCTAGAAACTTTTTCTTGGTTTTGTTTTGTTTTGAAGCATTTTCTAACTTCCCAATAGGTCATCCTCTAAACTCCTGCCCCAGGAGTCAAAGGCATAGATGATTCTGGCTCCCTGTGATTAAGCCTGGCTAAAGTATTTGTTGATAATCAAACGGTTAACTATAACATGCCAGAAACTTGGAATTCAGTTCCAACTCCTGGCACCTATTTAGCCCCTTACTCTTGGGAACACCAACAATCCTCAACTTTTCTTCATTCTCCCTCTTTAAGTGAATGCATGTTTCTGGTTCTGTGGAGTCTGGGAGACTGACTTCAATTACATTCTCCAACTCACTTATGAAGCAGCTAAAACAAAAAAGAGATCAATCAAACAAAAATAAGTTAAATTCTGCCTATCAAAACTAAGGGGACAATCTCGGTCTCACTTAGAGGCAAAGTTACTGTGTCTCACTGACAAAGCAGCCTTGCCAGTCTCTGCATTTTGACCTGTCCCTTCTCTCCTACATGGTGGTATACAAATGGGTGTTCTTTCACATTAGCGCCAAATGAATATCAGATGCACAGTAGAGAATCTGGATGACTTAAAAATAAGCCCTCAGATTGATCTGTAAAATCTACACCAAAGTAACAGGAATAAAACATCTGCATCCCTATTAGAGATTAATAGAAGAGTGAAGAAAAATAATTCTCTGCACCATAGAGATGCACAGCAGAATGGTACTTTTAATTCCAGGCACCATATTTTAAGAGGGCCCAATGAATGGGAGTATGTTAAGAGCAGAGATAAAGGGTTTAGAATACGTATTACATGTGAAATAGAAGAAACGAATCAATTTAGTATGAAATTATGTGCACTGTTAGAGAGGGAAGTAGGTCAAGAAGTCATTAAGATACATGAAAAGAAGGGTCAGATGCTAAAACTACAAATTCAGATGTATTTATGTAGCTCCAGAAGGAAGAACCAGGAATGGTGGAGAATGAATGTAGAAAACATTTTTAGTGAATGAAAGCATGAGATGATAACACAAGCAGCCACCATTGGAACAAACTGATGTGAAACAGTGGATTTCCCATCACTGAAGCTATCCAGTCTCCGTCCATTGCAGGTATTACAGAGCTGATCAAGAGTTTTAGTAGGTGGCTGGGGTTCCTTTCAGATCTAACATGCCATGATGCCAAAATGCTGTACATGTTCTTATCTTTTCCAGGCTCATTTTTTTTCTCTCTTCAGGTTGCTTAACCTTTTATCTACTTCCCTCTATTAATAATCATCTAAACCACACACACAAGTCTTCTGAAGTCAATTTCTTTATCTTTCACTTCACTTTATCTTTATCTTCACTTTCACTTGATGGATGAAAACAATACAGGAAAGCCACCTAAGCAGATATGACTTCTCAAGTTAACTTTTTAAAAGTGATTTCCATTCATCACTAATTTCAAACAAAACAATTACACACTATCATAAAATTATTAGAAAATTATTAGAAAGTGAAAACGAGAGGCATTGGTTAAATATGTTTAATACGCTTCATCATGTCCTCAAACATATTAAAAAAGTTAATCCACACTTCTTTAAGTGTATTAGGGGACTTGCTTTAGATTAAGAAATAGTTAACTATTTCAGGACCCTTCTTTAAGTGTACTGTAACTATTTCAGGACACTAAGGACCTTACAAATCTGAATTAGCTCAGATTGGCTGCTATCTCCTCAATATTTTCTGATAAATAAGAAACAAACAGAAAATACCAACTTCCACAAAATCTACCAGTAGTACACAAGGGCAGCCAAACTTCAAAATTCTTGCCACTTAGACAAACTCTAAACAGTTACTGCTTACTAAAATGTAAATAATAAAAAGACTTTTCTCCATCTTGTCCTCCAGAAAAAGCCATAAAGTTCAAATACTAACCAAAAAAAGGGTAAGGAGAAATATTTAAATATTGGTGTTCCTTTTATTAGTGTCTTCTCATACAACACTCCTCAATTCTAAACAGGACTTTCTTTCAGAAAACAAAACCAAGACAAAATGGTAGAAATCAAAGGGTTATAGACTTTGATTTAAAAGGCATAACCTTTTCAAAAATGAGAGCTATTATTGGATCATTTATGAGAAGAAATTCCCTGGCACTAGGATAATTAGAGGTTGGAAAACCATCTCTCCAGGTGCTATAAAATAGAATCCTCTCATGGTGAAAGAGTCCTCCTAATTCTAGGGGTCCAGGATTATTTTTATTATTATTATTACCTTTCCCATTCTGGAAAATCTTCAAGACTCTGTCTTGTAAATGTCACCAACCCAGTAGGTTCTACAGAAGCAATAAAAGAAAAACATACCCAAAATAAGTTTCAATTTTGAAAAGATTATACACACACACACACTCAGTAAAAGAACAGGTCCAACATTGGCTATAAAACTAATCAGGAAATACAAAGTCTAGTATTGGAAAATAACAGAGTATTGATTGAAAATAATATTAACCTTACAGGGAAACTCCTATAAAATAATAAGACTTCACTAAACAAAACTATACAAACAACAGCACAACAGTAGGATTTGAGTGTTGGTACTTTCTGGTAAAGTTTTTGAAGTTGAATACACTTTTTTTTTTTTTAAAGCACTGAAAAAAAGGATGTATAACTGGTACAGCTTACGCAATAAAGACAAAATTGAATTGAAAGTTGTAGACTCCTTTATAAACGAAGGACTTAACCCTACATTCAAAGACTGGTGAATAAATACACATTTATATACTTTATGGCAAAGTGAAATGCCACAGATTTAAAAAGGAAATCATTTGCACATCCTCTGGAGTTAGTACAGCTAAGTCCCGGGCTTAGACAGTGGGCAATCACTGTACTTGTTAGTCGCAGTTTTAGCCAGAGGAGAAATTACTGGTTCTAAGAGTTTACAGAACAAAGATGACATATTTTTCAAGAAGCAATAAATTTGGGAGGATTAAGATGAAATACTATTAATGCAGTCAATAATTTTAGAGGATGAGATCCTTTTCTAGTCAGATTTACTTTTTTAAAAAAAGCTAGTAGCAAAAGAAACAAATAAATCAGCTGGCCAGAAGTAATTTGTCTGATTCAAATCAAAGAACAAACTAAAAAGGCCATGCCATTTCTGTTTTCTTGAATAGAAAAAAAGCTCTTAAGGAAAGAGAGAGATGTCAGGAACTATTAGTGATGGCGGTGTCTAGCCCAGTGAAAGCCTCGCCATCATTCCATTCCTATGCACAATTCCACATTTCCTTGTTCTCAGTCAAAAGCAGGAACCACTCAAAAACCATATGGAGCAGTTGCAGTAGAAAACAAAATTTTTTCTTAACATGGGTCTTACATTCTTTAGATATCTAATCTTAGGATAAATGGGTAACATATTTAAAACTCACAAGTAAGTGGTCAAACAACTCAAACACTAGAGAACCAATTCCATGAATATAATAGAAAACATCTCTCTTGTCATTCGGCAACTTAGCAGAGAAGAAAGAACATCAAATGTCCTTCATATATACCAGGAGATGCTAAGAGAAATTCATAAACACTGCTGGCAAAGCAAGAAAAGGCAGAAGAACATGGTTTCTTAGATTAACAAAAATGCCCTGAGAGCACGTCTGTTAGCTTTCTTTCATAACAAGGCAACTTTCATCTCAGAATAGGATACTTTGGTTAATCAAATACTTCCCATAATAATAATAAAGTCACAATATATACTACCTACAGGTCGTAAATTTTCAAAAACCTGATCTTTAAGATACTTTATCTAAAACAATATAGAAAATAATTTAATTTGGAATGCTCTTTAAAATATTTCAGTCTCAAGATCTTCATCAAATATAAAATACAAATGTTTAACAACACTGAAAAGTTGGTCCTGATGGAATTCTATTTTTATCAATTCTAAAAGGCATGTTTTTTCACATATTATGTTTCCGAAACTGGAATACATCTTTTAGGAGGTATCTTACCATAGGTCTAGAGGTGAATTTTCCCAGAGAATATGTGCATCTGCTTCTGCTGTCATCTGGGAGCACTATTAGCCTGATATCATCCGAATTAATCCTTTGTGGCAGGCCTTTGTGGACCACACTGGTGGTGAGGCTGCACACCCAAAGCTTAGGGCTTGTGGTTCAAATTCTCAGAGAAATGTTTTTTTTTCCCTTTCTCTATTTAGAGTCAAGGTTGAGACTTGCATGTTTCTTTATGGTCCCTTTTCTGGATGACAAATTAATTTCTCATTTATTCTTAGGTGTACCAGCCTCGTGGGTCAGGTCTCCTACTAAACTCCCTGTCCGGAGTGGTTTTTTCCTTCTTAGAGGTATATAACGTAATAGCACTTTTTAAAAATAATCTATGACATCTTAGACTCGATGAAATATGGTATCTTAAATAAGTTTCTGAAGTCTACTGAGTAGGCTCCAGAACTTCTACACGACTCATTATATTGCAACCTCTTTTATTCTCTTTAGTATTTCCTCCTTAAACCGTTAGCTTTACATACTGAAGACCAAGAGCAATGTTGTACTGCATTTCTACAAAGAGCTTAATTACCATGTGTAGTGAAAAAGTCAGGAAATAAAATGTCTAGTTATAATTTATTTCTTCAAATTCCCAATACTTATAATGGCATATACATTTCTAGTTGAAAAAACAGACTTTTAGCTTTTTCCTCAAAGTATCTGAAATCCTAAAATTTAGAAAGCCAAGTTGGTTTTTAGAGAAGACATGTATGATTTGACTCCCAGGACAAAAAAGTAAACTCTGTACTACTTAGTTATAATAATTCTACTTAAAACAGCAACTCAAAGTACTGTGAAAACAAAACAAAACAAAACCAATAGTAATAATTCGAATTAGGCCTAGAATAGCCAAAAAAAAGTAGTCATCTTTTTTTTTTTTTGAGACAGAGTCTTGCTCTGTCACCCAGGCTAAAGTGCAGGGGCACAATCTCAGCTCACTGCAACCTCCACCTCCAGGGTTCAAGTGATTCTTGTGCCTCAACCTCCCGAGTAGCTGGGATTACAGGCTCCCACCACCGTGCCCGGCTAATTTTTGTATTTTTTTTTTTTTTTTTGAGACGGAGTCTTGCTCTGTAGCCCAGGCTGGAGTACAGTGGCGTGATCTTGGCTCACTGCAAGCTCCGCCTCCCGGGTTCACGCCATTCTCCTGCCTCAGTCTCCCAAGTAGCTTGGACTACAGGCGCCGGCCACCACACCCGGCTGATTTTTTGTATTTTTAGTAGAGACGGGGTTTCACCATGTTAGCCAGGCTGGTCTGGAACTCCTGAGCTCATGATCCACCCACCTCAGCCTCCCAAAGTGCTGGGATTACAGGCATGAGCCATCATGTCTGGCCTTAAATAGTCATCTTTTTAACAAATCATTACAAATTCTAATTTGATTTTGTATCTCATAGGTCCAAATAATTCTGCATTTTAATATTTCATTCAGTACAGGGCACAAACCTGAAATTCAATAAGCTATGAGATAAATAATCCCATATCAAAGTAGCATATAATTTTCCCTTAAATATCAAAATCCTGATAATTGATTTCATTCTAAAAATTTAACAATGTCCAATAGCAACACATTCAAGGGCGAAAATGCCAAGTACACTGAATGCAAGAGTAAAAGGATATGAGAAAAATGACCTTAAAATGATTCAAAGACATGTTTTAAGACAATCCTACAACCCAGAACTGAAAAAAAGCCATTTCACTTGACCAGGTTGACCTCACCTACTTAGCACAAAGAAACTTCTGAGGTGTTCTGGTTTACATCCACTTGTAGGAAAGGCTACCCATTAATAATAGCTTACATTTATTAAGCATGTATCCTCTTGTTTAATATCTATAACTACCCTATAAGGTAATGGCCATTATTATATTATTTCATAGATGATAAAACTGAAGCTTAGAGGTGTAAAGAAACTTGACTATGGTCATTCAGCTTCTGAGATAAGAGTGGCAATACCAATCTATTATCACTGGTCATTACTAGTATTTGTTGGACATTTACTAATATTGTCTCAGCTGCTATCAGGTTCTGGGGAAGCAAGAATGTTAAGGTTCAATAGAGGAAGATGGAGATACAAAACTCAGTACAAAACAGTTTTATAAGAACTCCACAAAGGGCTTAGGGGGGCACAAAAGAGAGGAATGGTTAGAAAAGCAATGCGTTAGTTGACTTATGCAAATAAACTAGTGAATACTTCTTTAAATAAAGAGCATCCAAAATTTATTTCCTGGTCAATATACTTTCTCTGGTTTTTATTCATGAAAATCTTTTGACGTATATTACAGATTTCAGAGAATATGGGTCTGATTTCAGAGTATGTAAACCCCGCCCCCCTACATTTACAGCACACATTTATGCTCATACACAACATAAGCATAAAATCTAGGTTATAATGTCGAATCATTACTACTGTTTCAATGTGGTTGGGACAAGAAGGTTTATGTTAAACACAAAATGTTCCTCACATGTCACTTGACTTGAACTGTTCCCATCAGCAAGAAAAATTACAGTAAGAATGAAAGGAATTTACTTTTCTCTGTGACTCTTCTAAAGTAGCAGAAGAGCGTTTTAAGTTTCTCTGGTTTCCTTGATGAACGTCCCTCAAACAACCTAAAAGAGATAAAAAATAAAAGAGAGTGGAAGATGAGTTAAAATGCCTTCATGATTCACAGAACTACATCCATATTGCTACCAAGTAATAAAAAGAAATAATTCTTCCAGAAGATAATTCTGTAATGATAAGAACTGGAAAACTGGTTTAGATTCAAATACCCTCTGGAGAGAACTGAAACCAAGTAGAACCAGGCTTCCTCAAAGCTGTTCAAATCAGATGGCATTTGCTACCAACCACATTTCTCCAACCTACCTTCCACCATGGAGAAGGCACCATCTAGCCATCCCAGTCAATTAGGGTCAGTCAGTGCACAGCTACTTTCTCAAAGGCTAATAACATTTACAATTCATAATGTTACTAGGTAGTTTGATAAATAACAAAAACAGTAGCTGAAAAAAATCCTTATCTGAGTGTTTGTGAGGAAAGGAGAGTGGAGGGGAATGGGGGAAGGGACACAGGCAGGTATAACAAGGTATCAGGGCTCAATAATCCTTGTTAATTAAACAACTAGATTCTTTTATGCACTGAATGTCTGTGCCCTCTCAAAATTTATATGTCGAATCCTTAATCCCTAATGTAGCTAAATTTGGAGATAGGGCCTGTGAGGGGGTAGTAACGGTTAAATGAGGTCATAGGGGTGGGACTCTAATCTGATAGAACTGGTGTCATTTTAAGAAGAGAAGGAGAGTACTCTCCCTCTGCCATGTGAGGACAAGATGCCAGCCAACCTATAAGCCAGGAAGAAAGCCCTCATCAGGAACTGAAGCAGCAGCACCTTGATCTGCAGCTTCTAGCCTCCAGAACCATGAGAAAATAAATTTCTGTTGTTTAAGCCACTCAGTTCTATGGTATTTTATTATGGCAGCCCAAGCTCACTAATAGAGATCCTTTGCATGGTAACTAAAACAGTGCCTACCCTGTGTCATCTAGTTTTCAGCAACCCAGACTTGGATTACTTAATTCAGTTTTCTTTGAAACGACATGGCATTGTTATTGGTAACATATAATTCAATTTATTCTGAGGAAAGAAAAGCAGGGCTTTAAAAGCATTATGACCTGAGTAAGTATTCACTAAAAGATTTCTAACACAAAAGCATGCTTTTGAGCACCAGATCTAGCTTTCCAAAGGCATTTACAAATTATAGAGATTCAGTGGCTATAAATGATGAGGTACTCTTCATCTGCCTCTAGTCATGTGCTCTGACTTTAAAACCAGAAACCCTTCAAGTAAAGTCCACGTTAATAAGTGCTGAAATGGGTCATTGTTTTTCTTGATTACAAGAGCAAGCTTACGTAACTACGCTGAGAGGGAAAAGTTAATTCCATGAGAAAATCCTATTGAGCGACTGAAATAAATTAGGAAAAGGAAAGGAAATGCAGATTTCAAATGGTTCTGTTTTCAATGATCTGAAATCTGTATCCAGGGCCAATTTCTGGAAAAACAATTTATATGAATATTTACTTCCTAAAAAGACTACTAATGTAGGCTAGTATTTTAACCAAATCTAAAATCATATATCTCTTTAAAAATAGTTTAAGACAGCCTGTGTGATAATTTTTACTTATTTAAAAAAACATATCTTTCTAAAATATTTAATACACATACTCTTATAATCCAGCTGAAAGAAAGACTCTTTGAGGGTGCAGGTTTCAGCGGCTTCTTCTAGAACAGAGTTTATTTAAGTCAAAATGAAGCCACATGGCAGTTTAATTAAACATCCTATATCAATAAATACGATTTACTAAATTAATACCTTAGGCTCCACTGCAAAATCTCTTTCTAGGCTCACTATGTAGTACAGGAAAGCAGTATGAATGTAAAAGTAGCCACCACCTTTTCCTAGAGATGAACTGATGTACTATACAATTCAATTAAAGGATAAAAAGTACTTCAATAGAACTATTGCATAGTGAGGAGAAAATGGCTGTTGCTCTTAAGAAATAATTCTCCAAAACATAGAAAAAGTGTCCCTAGCTTCCATATGTGGTCATCTGTGTATAAAATCACATAAAAGGTCACATACTTCACAACCATAATGACAAATTATTAACTTTAGGAGCCTCGTGAGACTGCAGATTTATTATCCTGGCAACACAGACTTTCCTGGAAGATTTTATGGCTGTTATTATCAACCACTACAAATGAACACCATGGTTTATTTTGCAGGTCCAAATCTTAAAGGTACAAATCAAGCAGAATCTCAATGTACTCTGTTTATTCACTGCTCCAGTCCTAACTTCAAATCACTGTGTAACCAAATATGCTTTACCATCTTCCTGATAGAGCAGGGGGAAGTGCGGGAAGTGTGGTGATGGCTGCAGGGGTAAGAAGTGGAGATAAAATCAGAGGAGATGAAGTAGGTTTAAAATTCTTGTGACAATTCTCAGACTTGGCTGTTGTGAAATCTTAAAGTTATATGCACAGCCACTCAAATAAAATGAATTATCCTGATAGGGAAGCAAGTAAAAATAACATAAATAGACAGGCAAACAGCACGAATGAAAGTCATCCCAGGAGTGATAAACAATCTGAGAGACAGCTTTTGGGGGTGAGGAGGAAAACAAAAGGACTGAGGCTGGAGCCCAAGAAAGGGGTGAAGGGTGAGAAGAAAGATGGGACAGGGAAGACAGAAGAGAAAGGCTGATAGAAATGGGGTTAGAGACAGAGGGCACGAGAGACAGACACACAGAGAGAAAGACACATACAAACAGGCTCAGAGAAAGTGAGACCTTCTCATAATCACTAAGCATCATTCCCCGCCCCCACTCCCCCTTTTTAATTTAAACTTCCCAACACCTTTCTTTTTTAGTTTAGATTTTTCAAGTCCTGGGTATGTATATTTGAAGGCACATTTTAGGTCAGCAGTGTGCACACAAACCAGGCCATAATAACTCCTCCGCATGTAGGGAAGACATTTGGGCATTTAATTGAAAGATAATGATAGATTATTAAAGAAATCAAACAGAAAAAGCCAGTCAGGAAACCTTACTTTGTTCTAAACAAAACTGTTTGTATTTTCAAAGACAGAAGTCAGTCAAAGGTCAGATACTTATTAGCTGGTGTTTTTCTTTGCATACTTATTAAGGAGAAACACAGTTGAATAAAATTTTTCCCTGAATGGAATACTGATAACATTACTGGAATTTTATTCTAGGTATATCCATCCCCACCCCTGCCACAACCCACTATGCCATTTCAAGTTAAGTAATAATCCCATTAGTATACAGTAAATCAAGCCCAAAGCACTACAACCTCCATTTTAAAATACGAGCAAGTGATAATCCGGAACCCAGCCAGAAAGTCATTCCTGGCTCTTCTGTGAGGCACTCTGCCATATGGCCCCAGCAGCATTTTCAATCCAGGGAAGAGGCAGATGTAAAAACCTCCTGGGCTGACCACTGCTGAGACCCACAATTTATCTCTGACCATCTAGTTTCCATGCAAACTCAGAAGCATCAATGCTAATCATATTGGAAGCCTTTATATGAATGTTTAGGACCTGAAAGGCAAGCAGGGAAAAAGGTCAGCGGTATTTAATATAACTAAGCAGGCTGAAAGAACACAGCAATAAATAAAAAAGGGAAGACTTATTCAATTTATTGACGTCAGCCTCCCAACACATACTCTTACCATTTTTCTTATTCAACTAGCTAGCCATACCTCTTTTGAGATTAAATACACTCTCACACACACAACTCCCCACAGCTAGAAACTATAATCGTAAGTAGAAACTATGCATAAAAGGAAATAACACAATAAAATGCTACATAATCAGCTTAACAAATGGCTCATCAGATTAAGTACTGGATCTTTCAAAAGCTACATGAAAGTGGGGGGACTTTCGGTTGTTTGGCATTTCTGGAGCACTCAGAGCATTTTGCTCATGACAAGCATTGAGATATAATAAAAGAACACTGAGTTTGAGTAGAAGACAGTGATCAAGTTCCAGTTGTGCTAACAATTCATTTACTCTCCCTGAACCTTATTGTAGAGAGGTTTCCCTACCTAGAAAATTCCATAGACAGAATCAAAGCAAGTCATGAAAAGACAGCATCAATGGAGATGTACAATCGTTGTTCCTATTATTTGCTAGCTTAGGCTCATTAAAACACACACCATCTCACAGTGAAAGGCAAGTGCAGACATTCTGGCTGCTTAGGATTCTCTATAACATTGTGGAGACTAACACTGGGTTACCTGCCTTAATTCATTTTCCGTGTTCTGGTATCCAAAAGAACATCCATCACCTAGGAAGACAAGAATATGCCTGACTTCAAATCTTCAATGGAACTACTTAAAGTCTTATTTGGTGAGAATGCTATCTGCTGCAAGCTTAAATTCGTCACGGTCACTCTGGACTTACAAATGGCTTTAATTCATTTAGATCAATAGTTATTTCTAAAAATAGTTCTAATTTTTGACTAGCCATGAGGTAAGATTAATTCAGTTCATTCAAAGGGAAACTGTGTAGCAGAATGGTTAAGGGACACAGATTCTCAAAGGAGACTATATCCTGCGTTTGAATACCAAGTCTACCAGTTACTGTGTTAACCTGGTGAAGTGACCTCCCTCTCTAAACTTCCATCTCATTTTAAAAAAGAGAGTAACAACAATTCCTAATCAATATCTAATTCACATGGTTAATGTGACAAGTAAATGAATTTCAGATAACGCAGAGAAAGCTAAGGTACTTGAGCTAAAATAAGGCATTACATAGTGCCCAGGCAAAACAAAACAAAACAAAACAAAAAAAAACAACATTCATTTACATAAAGTAGTTGCATTGTTCTAATTAATATTCCCTTCATTTAAAAAAATGGCCCCACCTTGATTCCCATCCATCCCAACATGCTTTCAGCGCTAACTAGCTCAGTCTTAGGATAAATGACCATGTACAATGAAAAAGATAAATCTGCCATCGCCAAGAAGCCCCAGACTTCCCCACTCAGAAGTTTGGCTGAAAAGCAAAGGTCTTTTAAAATTAAAATATGTATT